ATTTTGTATGTTAATACATAAAAATTATACAAATTTTATATACTTTTTCGGCAACCATATGTAAATAGTTTCTAGCGCAAACTAAAAGTGATAATACAATCTGGTTATTCGTTTGCTTCAATAATATGCCTAGAAGTGATCTTGACAACTCTATTTTTTTCAAATTTTAACCTTCTTTTTGGAAAAATCAACCGAAATTTTTATGAGTAACAGTTTCAGCTCTATGCTATTAATGGATGTTGGTTTATAATATATTTTCGATAAGTAAATTAAAAAGACGGTGAGTGTGAAAACTAACTACACATTTTAAGAAGTGCTCCAATGATAAGGGACTTGGTCAAAAACTTTGGGACGTGACAAGCCAAATGCGACTTATAGATGCAGTGTAAATACGACTTGTACATTGCGACTTATAAATCACTGCATTCTGATTGCTACTTGTACATCGCAGTTCGAACTTACAAATTGCTTTTTCATGTGACTGGCTAACTGCCACAGAATATTCTCCTCATATTAAGGCAACGAAGCTGGGAGTTTTCATGTGAGGAATCGAATTGGTGGGCAAAAGCAAGCAAGATGAAGAGCAAACCAAGGGCTGTTTTCATGGCTTTTGGAACTAAAGGCGATGTCTACCCTGTTGCCGTAACTTTCCTCCTCCTCTCCCTTTTGTCTCTTTACATTTGTGTGTGTATTATGTTGTAATGATATCACGCTGTCGTTGATTTTGTTATTGCATCTAATTGTGAATTTATCTTACATTCTATATTGAAATAGTTTTCTTCCCCTGACGCTGGCCATGTCTGCAAACAACGATTTGCTGCTTTCTTAGTTAGAAAACTGTTTTAAAGATTATTTCTAGTGTTTTTAGTGACACTTGATAGCTGTTGAAAGTGAGGGTTGGGGCACGAGAGCGGTATCGTGCTGATACTTTTAATAATCAAGATAGATAACAATTGAATGGTCCTTGAAACAAGTGATATGGAGTAGGAGTTGAGATATTTGAAGGAAAAAATGACAAACTCATAAATAGTGTGAATATTTTTGCTGTGATGAAAGAATTTCGAGAGCCGAGTAATGAAAAATGATTTCAAAGCAACTTAAATATCTTTTTTTGCTTCCCGGAGTGGCAGGAATTGTGGCTTTTGAATTTGGAGAGAAAGATGACTAGTTCTCTTTCAATTGGATGCGTCTAAACTTTATTTCTGATAGCAACATTCTGTGAGACTATAAATAAACCACATGAACTAGGTGAGAAAACATAATTCTGATGTCAGAACTAAACTTTATTTCAGATGTAATAGTGTATCTAATTTGGTATAAAGCAGAAGATCTTGTGTTCTACCATATACACATTGAGTATGCTCCATGGTTAACGGATTTTATCATTGGAAAAACAAAGAGCGTTTAGGCAACAAAAGAAAATGCCATAGAGAGAGTAACTCACTTTGCATTTGGAGTGACAAAAGACCTAGAAAATTGCAAATACCTAAGCAAAAGGCAATTGGCCGTATCCCAGTGGAGATCTTCACCCTCAAAATGTGCAATAATAATGTCGAGAACTGTGGGACACATTCAGAGCTATGTTTGATGGGAACCCGAACTATGCCATAACTGTGTAAACTGATAGGACATAACTAATTAATTTCTAGTTCAACTGATTAGACGTATAAGAGATTTCGTGATAAGTGGATCTGCAACTGGTGTGCTTTTTAGACAATGTTTGTTTATCATATAATAGAGAAGATATGCAACACCAGTTAGATCTTAAAATGAGTTAAACTATATCCAAGTTCATTTAGTTTTTTATTTTTTATTTTTTTAAAAAAAGGTCAGCCTGGTGCGCTAAGCTCCCGTTGTGCGGGGGGTCCGGGGAAGGGCTGGACCACAAAGGTTTACTGTACGCAACCTTACTTGCATTTCTGCAAGAGGATGTTTCCATGGCTCGAACCCGTGACCTCCTGGCCACATGACAATAACTTTACCAGTTACGCTAAGGCTCCCCTTCCAAGTTCATTTAGTTTGTTTCTGAATTTTTTGCTGTACTGGCATTGGAGTCGAATTTCGTGAGGAGGCCTTGTATATTCCCTTCTCCATTGTTATTATTAGTTGGAATTTAATTAGAATTTTTGCATGAACCTTAAAATTACTTGTATAGAGCTATTATTTTCCTTGTTCCATGAACTGGGATATATTTTTAATAAAAATGCCTTGATGAACAGGCCATTGCTGCAGCCTTTGCTAGTGATCAGGAACAATATCAAGTGGTTTTTATAACTCATTCAGCTCATGAGGTTAGCAAAAGTGGAAGAGTTTTTTTTTTTGGCAAGTAGATTCATTGTTGGCATCAAGAAGATGCAAAGTTTACAAAAGAGATGTTGTTAGCTTCATCATATTTGTCTGTGCTATAGCAGGAAGCTAACAAGTTACAAAAATAACAGACTAAACTAATCTATTTAGAATGTTACTCTAGCTGACAAAAAACTAGTCTATGTGCATGGAGCTAACAAAATCAAAAGCAGAACAGTTCTAATCTGTTGCTTTTGTCACAATTTTAAGCAGAGAGCTTTTGGTATGTTATTTTCTTCTTTGCATATTATTTTTATTTAAAGCCCAGCCCACTTTTTGATCTATTTTGAGATCAGCATACCCTGAAATAAACCTTGATAATTTTGACCTTCTAAGGAACCTTTAGGCTGGATAGCACAGCCAAATTCCTTTTTTCTTTTAGCATAAATTATGTGAAATTTCAGAAAGTTGACACTGAATGCTTCAGAGTATTCTTTTATTTCATTCTTTATTTTTTCATGACAGAACTTGAGAGTGCACTTGAGAGCAAATCAAGTTATGTATATTCCAGTTTCATCACCACCTGCCGTTTCGCCTCTTGAACATTATGGTATGTCACTTTTCGTCAGCTTGATAATGTTTTTCCTTGTCCTAATTTATGTGAGTCAATTATTGCATGTTCCTCTTGGATAAATCATTTTCAGTAACAACTTACATACAAATATGAGAATGAATTTCAGTAAATTCACAAGATCTTATTGGTAATTTTACGGTCAGGTTCAACGGAGGTTACTTTTTCTGCCCACAAAAGGGAAATTACCCAGAATCATAGGCATGAGTGTACTTTGATCTTTGAGGATATCTTTGGAGATGTCCCAAATGTGGAGGGTGATCTTATTGCTATTAATTTCTTTGCTCTGGTAAATTCTCTGGGCTTTTAAATGTTCTTCATCCCTTTTAATTTTAATTTTTGGAGAGTAGAATTTTATTACTTTTATAAGATGAGCTTGGAGAATATATCCCCTTACCAGTAACGCTGTAAAGTTTGAGGAGGGGAGGGGGGAGGCCGAGCTGGAGGGGAAGGATGAGGGTGTGAGTTGCTCTCAATGATAATTGATATGTGGAAAGTAAAGTCATCGTCAACAGGATGAGTTCCTATGGTGTTAAAAACTGGCGAAGAAATGGGAGGAAAAAGAATTGGACAGATTTAAATGATATATTATCGGAGTGAAATTTTGAAAAAATATAAAACAGAATTGTTGGATGAACATTAAACTGTGAGAGTTTGAGTTGTTCTCATTGTGAAAGTCACAACGTTTTCTTTTCTTTATTTCTATAACTTGACTTCAGGAAGGTTGGAGTCTTGCAGAGCTTTTTCAGATCCGTTGCATTGTGGTTGCTCCTTATGTTGTTCCTTATAGGTAGCAAGAGAAACTTTCTTAATTCCTTTTCTTTTGATAACAAATCGTATTGTCTTCACCTCTGTTCTTCAAGTATGTATTCAAAGTTACGACAATTTATGGCCCTTCAAATGGTTAATTGGAAAACTATGGACTTGCATCCTATGGCAATGAACATGATGAACATCTTATCACGAACTTCATGGTTCTGGACATACCAGTTACTTTCTTTCCAACTAGTAGGTATACCTGTCTAGGAACTTGGAGAGGAATGCAAACATTTAAACTGATGAATATGTCACTTATGCGTAAAATTTCACATCTTCATCTGTTCCTGCTGAAGCATCTTAGGCATTTGAACATCCTCTAGCGTCTGGAGGCTTTGGTTGGGTATTAATGCAGAAGCCGTATTGCTTACTTTTCTGACTTTCAGCTCTTCGTCTCATGCAATGTAGTGCTCCTTCATCATTTGAACGGCAATTTAGGAAAGAACTTCCAGATTTATATAAGTATCTCCAGGAAGCTCCCAGTCACAAGGTATTTGATGAATTATGTAGCCACTTGGTATATCGCTTTGCTGGTTTTCTTTTGAAAAATCAGTTCCATTCTTCATTTAAACTGTTCAAGTGTTGTTAATATATGGTCTTATGGCTGTATTCTAGTAAATTCTCCTTACTTCGTACACTTGGTATAAGCTTCTGCAGTTATGCTAATACCTGCTGACTAGTCTTTAACTTTGTTTCAAGCCCGTAATGTTGTATAAGGTCCTTCCCAATGCATTTTAGTCTTTTTCGCTGTGACTTAAGACAGTGATTGTATGAGTTAAGGCTTTTGCATACTTGCTGATGGTAGGTTGGCTGGAAAGATGTCATCCATTGGATGTGGCCACTTTTCGCTGAGGAGTGGGGCTCATGGAGAAGTTTGGACCTGAAGCTGAGTGCCTTTCCTTTTACGGTGTGTCCTCCACTTCTGCCAATGACAATTTTCCTATTATTTTCCCTCTTTTCTCATCAAAGCTTTGGGGTGGGAATTCAGTCAGTTCCAGTTTTCAGCTTTAAAAGGGCAAGCCAATCACTGATCCGCACGGTTCAGTTTTTTGAGCAGTTCATCAGGTACTTCGGTTTCTTCCGGTATCTGAAAACAGAATGGAACCTAGATTTTGCAAAACAAAAACCAGTAGCCAATTCGAGTTACCAAAAACTGAACCCATAAACTAAATTGTTTTGGATCGATGGTTCTTTGGTTAACAACGAGTGTGCTCACTCCTATTGTATCTCTGTTAATTTGGTTGCTTTGTTGTATTTACTGGTTGTTCATTCAATGCAGGATCCTGTAACTGGTCTTCCAACATTCCATGAGAGGCTCCCGTCTCCTCTACTATTGTAAGATTATTGTACCAGCTAAAGAACATCTATGGAACTATGGAACACTATAGAGATCTAGAAGATACTAATAGGCTAAATCTTCAAGGTGTATAAAAGAATTAATATTGTCTTTACTAGCTTTTTAAAAAATTTCTATGCAAGGTGCTTCCTGGTGAAGAGCTTACCTGAGATTTGGTATTCCATTAACCATGTTGCTCTTTCTACACAGAGCGACAGGGGAAAATTGTTTAAAGATTATTTTGCAAAGTATTTTGTCTTCTTGAGCCGAGGGTCTATCGGAAACAGTCTCTCTACTCCCTTGGGGTAGGGGTAAGGTCGTACACACTATCCTCCCCAGACCCCACTAGTGGGATTTCACTGGGTTGCTGTTGTTGATGTATTACAAATAAAACAAGTTGGCATTTTAACCTTGACCTATAGGTTATTGACATCTTGATTTATATGTTTCCATGGTCTGTTAATTGTAACAGGAAAACTGCTATTGCACTTTCTGACATACGTATATTCTCTTCTAACATGCACTATCCTGGTGCCTGTATTACCTTTTGTAAAGAAGAACTGCTTTCTGACATACAGTGGCTTGATGACAGGTATGGATTTAGCAAAGAAATTGTCGAATACCCTGGTATGGATTATGTTGAAATATTTCTAGATATCTCTTCATAGTTCCATGTGGACATTTCCCTTGGCACAGGAATAAATGCCAATAATTTAATTGCTCAAATCATATGGCTTTTATTTTTAATATAACTTGAAGTTTTTCAAGACTCAAGACATGGCCCTGGTGACACTGCCATGTCGGAGCAACTTAGATGAGGAAACACATTGATGGTTCTCAGAATGTATATCTGTGCCTTGTTTTCTTCTACTGAGTTCTAAAATTCTAATCGTACATTTTAGTGGAAACCCACTTTGCTGTTCTATTTTAGAGTAAATCCAGCTATATTACAAGTTTTCTGTTGAGTTTAAGGCTAAAAAATTTTCCGTACTTTGGCTATGTAAGATAATCAAACTACATTCTTTGTAAAGTGACGAGAAGACAAGATTGTTAAGCCACCTCTCTCAGATAGTTTTGTCAATGCAAAAGGTGATAATTAACGAAGCCTTATTGAGAAAGCTGTTGTGGTTTTCTGTTGCTATTGAGCTGATAAGTGAAAACCTTTACTATTTAGGTTATTGGCCATCAAAAGTGTGGGTTTGTGGCTTTTGGTTTCCTCCCAGGAAATGGCAGTTTTCATGCAATGACTGTGCAGAAATCTCTGCATCTGGTATTTCAGGGAATTTGAATCAGCAAAACAAACTGTGTTCTGCCCACCTCGGCTTGCAGTTTTTCATCGAATTTCCTGCTAAAGAGCTGCCTGTTTTCATAGGACTGAGTTCAGTTGGAAGGTAAGGTCACATTTGAGGTTTTTTTTAATGCAAAGCTATGTTCTTCTTTCACTATTTAAGTTTTAAGGGACTAATGGATGGTCTTTTTCCTGTCTGCAAGTTAGTTTATGCTATCTATTTTTTATGTTCATTTTAAGTGTGTCTCTGTTCTTCTTGAATGACCAAAATAATTAAAGCAGCATTAAATTCAATACTGATAAGTGAATCTCCGAATTCTTGATTTATGTCAAATCAGATGGCGATTCTACTTTTTCTTTTTTTATTAAGAAATTATTTTTTCTTTTTTATCAAGAAATGATTTCATTAACAATGGGGAGAACTACTCCCGTATAGAAGAGGTATACCAAAAAAGTAGAGCCTACAAAACTAGATAGGAACCTCATGGCTGCAGCTGCACCAATCCCCATACAAATAGGAACCTCATGGCTTCAGCAAAACGACATCAAAGATAGAGGCTATTCTTCAAATATACAAAATCAAGCTCGAGTCCCTCAAAAGCTCTCGTGTTTCTCTCTGTCCAAACAACCCACATAAGAGCTAGCAGAGTAATATCCCATGCCCTGCATCTTTGCTTTCGTCTTCTAAAACCCCAACTGAATCCTTTACCATCCCAGCATGGTCCATAATAATCCAAAACATCTCAGTATGACAGATGGAGATTGTACTAAATAGGACGGTCTGGAATGAGAGAAACTGTAGAGTTCTTGGCGGGATTGAAAATAGCTTACGTATTAGTAGTACTTTATGTTTGACTGAAAAGCTTTGGAGCACCAATCAAGTTCCGATTGGCATAGACGATCAGTTGGTCCTTGCGAAGAGTCATAGCTGTGTAAGATTCCCTACGTTTTTCATACCCTTATATATGGGATTTTCCCTTTGATATTTAGTACTAAGAAAATAAGTGTGGCCCTTCAGGTTAGTAAGTCTATAATGGAGGAACTATAGTTAGTTTAAGTTTCTGTTCCTTTCATAGAATTTAACACATTTATTTTGGTGGTTACAATTCGTGATTCCTTCGTTTTTATGTTTCGGACATGTATACTTTTCTGCAGGACAAGCTTTAGTTGAATTTTGTTTGTGCTGTTGTCTGAGAACATTCTTATCATGAACTTGTCTATTGTCTCTTCTGCAGCATGGGTTTCCTGAGGAACCCTCGTGCATTCCTTCGGGTGCTTGGAACTGCATTAGACATATCGGGTTGCAGATTTATTCTGTTCTCAGCTGGGTATAAACCTTTAGAAGCAGCAATTGAGTCATATGCCAAGGAAGCATCCTCTTGTTCAGAACAAACACATTGGAGTAATGAAGGAGTTTCTCTTTTCGGAGGTCGACTCTTTTGTTTCTCTGGGTAAGTTCTTTATACTGGATCTACTTGAGTCTTTGGTAACTCAACTAGAAGTCTACAGTTATGCTTTTTGGAGTATGTTTTTGCTCTAAAAGGTGTGCAAAACTGGAAGTAATGTTTCATTTTCTTATAATAAATGGTTATTGGTTATTTCAATACTTATTAATCTCCATACTCCATGTTTAGGATTTAAACTAACAGTTAGGAAGCTATTTAAAATGTCATATACAGTTATTCTGGTAATTGATATCTGCTTATTTTTCTCCAAGTTCCGTCCCATACAACTGGCTGTTTCCAAGATGTGCAGCTGCAATCCATCACGGTGGAAGGTTTGATGTGTTTCATTTAAGTTTCTTTATCCTCTTCCTGTGTGTGTGTGTGTGTGTGTGTGTGTGTGTGAGAGAGAGAGAGAGAGAGAGAGAGAGAGAGAGAGAGAGAGAGAGAGAGAGAGAGAGAGAGAGAGAGAGAGAGAGAGAGAGAGAGAGAGAGAGAGAGAGAGAGAGAGAGAGAGAGAGAGAGAGAGAGAGAGAGAGAGAGAGAGAGAGAGAGAGAGAGAGAGAGAGAGAGAGAGAGAGAGAGAGAGAGAGAGAGAGAGAGAGAGAGAGAGAGAGAGAGAGAGAGAGAGAGAGAGAGAGAGAGAGAGAGAGAGAGAGAGAGAGAGAGAGAGAGAGAGAGAGAGAGAGAGAGAGAGAGAGAGAGAGAGAGAGAGAGAGAGAGAGAGAGAGAGAGAGAGAGAGAGAGAGAGAGAGAGAGAGAGAGAGAGAGAGAGAGAGAGGGAGAGAGGGAGAAAGGTAGGGAGGGAGGGAGGGAGAGAGGGTGAGAGAGAGAATTAACTATTATGTGCCTTGTTATTGACAATTTGCTGCTATCTTTGGTGTTAACATCCCCAGTGGATCCACTGCTGCTGCTTTACAGGCTGGAGTTCCTCAGGTTTGTTTCGTCATTGATTTTTTTGGAATTATTTGCAATCTCTGAAGTCTTTCAACCCCTTAATATTTCTGGAAAACCATTTTGTTTTTTTAACAGAATGGCTTGTATGGTTTTTAGTTTATGTGATGGACATTATGAAGACAGTGCCTGCATCTGGACCATAAATGAGTTATTGGCATGAAGAAATTTCAATTGTTAAAGCAATTCATTGTCTGGAAAACTTGGTATATTTAGGAAGAACCTTGAATTTTTTTTCCTTTTTACTTTATAAGGTTTCAAATCTGTGGAATTTTCACTTAACTATCATCTCATTTATTATTTGAGTAGTAATATTCATTTTTGTGGAGTGGAAATGTGAGAAAGATTAATGTAGAGAAGTTATTGTAATGACCCTGATATGTGGGCTTTCTGTGAGGAAGAAGATATCATTAATCAAAGCATATTACTTCATTGCTTTTTGGCAAAATTATGATATATTACTTAAAGAGATTTGCATGCCACTAGAAATGTAGAGAACTTTTAGTGTTAAAAGAACTTAAATTATTGCATATTGGAATGGCACGGGTCTAAATGGAGCAAAATAGATAATGGATCATATAGCCCGCCCCAATTAGCTTGCGATTTGGCATAGTAGTATTTTGTTATAATAAATTGTTTAAACTGACAAAGGAAGCTTAGAGAGACTTTCCAGGTTGATATTAACCATCATATATAAGCTCATGTGACCGATAATTGCATAAAGGTCAGAAGTGTATTTTGATAGAGTAACTGTTAAGAAGATGTCATGGAATGTTCCGACTGACGTGGTGAAACTAGGATTGATGTTTGATATTAAGATTTTAGTTCAGTATAGGTCAAAGGTTGGAAATTGATTCAGCTTCTCCTACAATGGCAGGTGATATGTCCATTTATGCTGGATCAATTCTACTGGGCGGAGAGGATGTGTTGGCTTGGTGTTGCCCCCGAGCCATTGAGAAGAGAACATTTGGTGCCAGATACAGATGAGGATTTCTACATCAAGGAAGCTGCAAACATGCTTGTGAGGGCCCTGGACCATGCACGGTCTTCTGAAGTCAAAGCCCGTGCTTTGCAGATTTCTAATAAATTGTCAAATGAGGTAGGATCAATTCCTGGTGATGAATAAACTAATATAATGCTACATTATAATATGTTTCGCATGCTGCTGCTGTAGCCAGAGGCAAAATTAAGATTTAAAGTTAACAGGTCATAAATTGATGTGATTTATAATATATTTATATTTTATATAGTATTCTTGCATATGTATGAGTGATTTGAGCTGAAAGTAGTGTGTTCAATTACTACTTTCGTTTAGCATTATAAGATTTAAGTGACATTTTTAACATCTTGCTTGGTTTTGGCAAATATCCAGGATGGAGTATCAGAAGCAGTCCGTGTCATAAAGGAAGAGCTAAGAAGTTGTCAATAATACTAGCGCTCATTTTTTTTCTTTTTCTTCTTGGGTATTACATTATAGTAGTAGTGGATCCTTTTCTTTGTAACAATTTAACGGCATTTTAAAGTTTTCGTCAGGGTTTTCTCTTTCTTTCACACTTTTGTAGACACCCCTTTCTTGATAGTTGAACTAATATGGAGTATTAAACTGCAGATCTGATTTTCCATGCATTTATTCTTTGATTTGGTTAAAAGAGGACTACTTGGAATCCTTACATTACTATTTGCTTGGAATTCATGTTTAATATTCTCAAGAAAACTTAAGTTATCATTAAAGAAAAAAATGTCACAAAATTGCGTAACACACCGAATCAAACTTACGTTGAGAAAATTATGCATTAAACTTGCTACTCGAAAAAATTTAAATACCGCCCACCGTGGGGCTCGAACCCACGACCACAAGGTTAAGAGCCTTGCGCTCTACCAACTGAGCTAGACGGGCTTCTTGTCGTGTTATAGAAATTTATTTGTATTCTCCGATACTATAAGTGGGAGTTAGCAAGCACCTCCTGTCAACATGCTTGCTTATGTAGGGGCATTTATGGAGTTTCACATTATATCTGTTTTAAAAGTAATGTACGTGCTAGCTTCATCGCCGGGAGAAATTCAAAAATAGCCAGATTTACAAGTGGTCATTCAAAAATAGCCAGATTTACAAGTGGTCATTCAAAAATAGCCATAGTTTCAAAAGTAATCAAAATTTAGTCACTTTTCATGTAAAGATAAATCTGAACGAAAACACTGTTCAAAATTCAAAAAAATACTCCAGCATAATATACTGGAGTTTCAATATATTATACTGGAACTCCAATCTAATATATTGGAGTTCCTGTATAATATACCATTCCAGCATAATATACTAGAGTTTGGAGCACCGGTGCTCCAGTCTCCAGTATAATAAAAATTAGAGCCAGCAAAGTATACCATGCTGGAAGTTCATACACAGGTGCACCGAACTCCAGTATATTATGCTGGATCGATCTCTATTACGGCAAAATAATGACTATTTTTTAATGACTTGGCAAACGCTGGCTATTTTTGAATGACTAATCTTAAAACTGGGTAGACCGTGCTACTCGATAAGATGGCTGAAGTGTAGGGCCTATCTCAATTTCCCATTTCATGCGTTCACACCTAGCTCTTATTTACACCCCTGAGTTATAACTTTATTACTTAAGATGACCTATTTGCTTCTGTAAATTTTTTTAACTTAGAGCTTTTTATATGTTCCAAAAACATCAAATGTCTGACTCATGGTCCCCACGTACCTATCTAGCCCTACCCTTATACTCTTTCGCAAGAAAGTAAAACATAAGATAGCTTCAATAGTAAAACAAGATACAAAAATAATACAGAAGTAATACAAGACATTTATTGGAATAAAGAAATTTGTTTTTTTCGAGCCTCTAGGTATGAAGTCGTCTTTGTTAGGGAGTGCTTTACCCCTAATGTGGGACTTTTCGGCACAAATTTGAATTTAATCGGGCCCCAATATGAGTATCAGACACCGGGTGGGAAACAAAAAAAGAAGAAATTTATTTTTCTTAATAAAGTCAAAAGAAGTAGGCACACAATGGTAAAAAAAAATTGGAAATGCTCGATAAGCATGCAAAGTTCAATAGTTTAAATACAAGTATTATCAAGTTATATGATTCTGCTTGGTGCAAATTTTGTGTAATAACATTGGTAAAAGTATTAGCTTTTTTACAATAATATTAAAGATAAATTCTCCACTAAGACAAAAGAAGGACGTTTAAGTTATGCTAATAAACTTATCAAAATGGAGCAGAAACTTAGAGTTTTTACAAAAGAATTAAGAGGAAAAGAAGGATTTAGTTGGGATTCAGATTTAGATGGCAACGTCATAATTAAAAAAGGGACGACCCATTCCTTGAAGTGAATAAGAAAAGATCATGTTGCCAAAAGTGTCGAGCGGGCACTGATAAAAAAAAGTAAGCAATAAAAATATTAAAGTTTATGCCTTAACTAGAGGAAAAATGACTTCATTTCAAAACTAACGTCTCAAACAAATATTGGGAGCAACATTAAGAAGATAAGGTGAAATAATACTTAGGTAAGCATTTGATATTAAAGGATTAGAAATAAATTATGATATTAATGAAAAGAAATTATTTTCATACTAAAACATAAAACAAAAAATAGATAGTTTGTCCCCTATACCGTGTCATTGTGGTTCTTTTAAAGACAGAGAGAATACTATCACTATAGGCTATGTATATTATTTGCTAGGGTTAAATTTCAAAAATTAGTGAGCGTTAGAAATAATATTTAAAATTGAAATCTAAAAATTTATGATTGGAAAATCGCATTTATTTCATGTAAAATACTCCTTAAATAATTTTCTGAATATTTTACCGGTATTTTAAATATTGAACTCAGTGAACAAAATAAGGATTAAATTTCTTTATCATACTCAAATCTGTAGAATACAAAATTAAATTAATTAATTTGAATTATATTAATTTGTCTATTAGAGCTTGGGCCCGTGGTGTTGCTTACTAGTCCTATAATAAACCAAAGAACCTGAAATAATGAAAATAAATAAAATCTAATATCCAGAAAACAAAAATTTAAATAAAATGTAATATCATACTAGAGCTTCACCATATGCACGTTCCTGGTGCAAAAACTATGGGCTTCTTTCTCAGAGATTGTAGCAATGGTTTTCTTCTGGATTGAGGATTTTGGCCAAACCTAGAGTCAAATTAGGAGAAAAAATGGACTGGAAACGGCAAGTTTTCCTAAAATCAGCTTTTTCCTGTCGGCTCAAGACCTTTAGAATTAGAGGTTGAAAAAGTGTACCTTTTTTAAAAATAGAGTATGGGTAGTTATCCACCTCTTTCAAATATACCATATTTATTCAGTTGGACTCTCATATTTATCCGAATAAATTATTATTTCCACAGAGATAAATCTTGCCGTTATCACCGAAGAATGTGGCTAAATAGGTGGAATTTCTTAAGCCTTGATAAAAAAAAAAAAAATTGGGTGTGACAGAAAACCTTTCAATTGGATACCTAACTCGTTTTAATGGATTTACCCGATATAAATTAGAATTAGTTGGTTCAATGATTTTCGAATATCAAATGATGATAAAACTCAAAAAGAAAATATGCTAGTTAATTTATCTTTGCTTTCACCTACTTTGCACAGAAGTAGGACAGATTTGACTTAAGACTTCGACAGTAGTGGTCCAAAGGTCACTCAAATTCAATTTATCTCTTGAAAGTTGTAAGATGGTGTATTTATTTTGGAGTAGTTAGTCACTTCAATCCTGCTCTTCCCACCAATTTCTAAAATTTTACCGGAATTTCATCGGATCCGGTTGCTCTGCGCCTCTACCCTGCACATCTTACGCATAATCCCCATGAACTCCTCGACCTTAATGCGCCTACAGTAGCTAAAATCTTGGTGACTCTCAGAATGCTCTAATTCCCCTAGCACAATATCTCTGTCCCTTTGTTATTCAACAGTTTATGAAAATAATTTTGCCATCTCCGCTTAATTTAAGCATCTTCCATCAAGGACGAGGAAGGCAGAGTGTTGATAGAATATGCTAAGATTTTAAGCGGAGATGACAGACTTACTTTCATAAACTGCTGAATGACGAAGGGGACATAGATATTGTGCTAGGGGAATTGAAGAACTCAGAGAGTCACCGAGATTTTAGCTACTGTAGGCGCATTAAGGTCGAGGAGTTCATGGGGGCTATGCGTAAGATGCGTAGGGGCAGAGGGACCGGGCCCGACGAAATTGTGTAGAATTTTGGAGGTTGGTGGGTAGAGCAGGATTGGAGTGGCTAAGTGGGCTGTTTAATATGAAAAAGATGCCAGAAGAATGAAGGCGGAGTACGATGATACCGCTGTACAAGAACAAAGGCTATATCCAGAATTGTAAAAACTATATGGGTATCAAGTTACTAAGTCATACTATGAAAGTTTGGGAGAGGATAGTGGAAGTGAGGGCGCGGAGGTCGGCGTCGATATCAGATAACCAAGTTAGGTTCATGCCTGGTCGTTATACTACGGAAGCTATCCATTTTACAAGGAGGTTGGTTGAATATACATGGATAGGAAGAAGGATTTGCACATGGTGTTTATTGACCTAGAAAAAGCATATGACAAGGTCCCTAGGGAGTTCTTTGGAGATGCCTGAAGGTAAAAGGTATTTTGGATGCTTATATTAGGGTGATTAAGGACATGTATGATGAAGCTAATACTCGGGTTAGGACAGTGGGGGCAACTCGGAGCATTTTCCTGTTGTTATGGGTTTACACCAAGTATCTGCGCTCAGTCCGTTCTTATTTGCCCTGGGATGGACGCACTGACACACCATATTCAAGGGGAGGTGCCATGGTGTTTGTTATTTGCTGATGATATTGTTCTGATCGATGAGACGCGAGGTGGTTGTCACGACCCAAACCGATAGGCCGTGACAAATGCTCGAGTTCTACCTATCGTACAACCCTAAGCATATATTTAAGATATAAACATGAAATATAGGTCACGCATAACGTCTAGAAATAAACTACTGATTCATATGAACAACATACGTGGGAAAGCTTGCCCAAAATACATATATACATATATATACGGAATACGGTAGGGCGAGCCGACAAGGCCACATACTATCTAACTATACATGACTGTCTACAGACCTCTAACAGAGTGTACAACTGTATAAAGGATAGGACTGGGCCCCGTCACACCCATATGTATACAAAAGTATCGTACCAAAACTCAATAGCAGCTTTGGATCAAATGGAGCACACCAACTCTCGGTGAGCAAGGATCTTAAGATGGGGGACCATCAACCTATCTACCTGCACCTGCGGGCATGAAACGCAGGCCCCCAGGCAATAGGGGCGTCAGTACGAATAATGTAACGAGTATGTAAGCCATAAAAATTAGTATATAACAGACATGAAAGAAACATGGAGTAAATGACTCAACCTGTAAGTCTGAATAGCATTGTGAATCATGAAATATTTATAATGTCATGCATATGCGTATAAATGTCATATCATGCATAGGTATATGCGTACATAACATCATCAAGCCTCTGAGGGCATCCCATTATATCACCTCAGCCTCTGTGGGCAAAAAAATAAACGTATACCAGCCAATCAGGTG